TTTTGAAAATCATCTAGTATTTTCACACTTGTATTTTGAATGTTTCTTTTTTCTTTTATTTGTTTGTTTATTTATTTATTTTATAAACAGGATCTTACTCTAGCCCGGGCTGGAGTGCAGTGGCATGATTTCGGCTCACTGTAACCTCTGCCTCCCAGGTTCAAGCGATTCTCCTACCTCAGCCTCCCCAGTAGCTGGGACTACAGGCATGCACCACCATACCCAGCTAATTTTTGTATTTTTTGGTAGAGGCGGGGTTTCACCATGTTGGCCAGGCTGGTCTTGAACTCCTGACCTCAGGTGATCTGGCTGTCTCGGCCTCGCAAAGTGCTGGAATTACAGGCATCAGCCACCATACCCAGGCTGCATTTTTAAAAGTACTTAATTTAGATAAATCAATAATTTGGACTGGCTACTGTCATTTGCACCCACTTTGAGCTTTCAGTTTGGGTAGGACTGCTAGGCCCAGTTCTTTTGTCATCTCATTTTTAGAGAGCTCTTAAAATCCAAAGTATTTAAAACCCTGCAAGTTTCTGTGCAGATGAGTGCAAATTTCCACCCAGCATTGGTTCCTGAGTCATTAGAGGGAGGAGGCCATGCAAAAGTTGCTGTTGCCCAGGCTCCAGAAAAACATCATGTAATGTTTGATTCTGTACTAACTGTTCGTAGTGTAAAGGAAAGCTGATTGTGGCAGTTAGTTTATCTCCTTTTCTTTTTTTCCTTAAAAAAATCATCCAGAGACAGTAAGCCCAATGGTTTCTCTTTGCTTTTTTCCTTCCCTGGCACATTTTCTTGGTGAGTCTAAGTTGTGACCTCTACTGAAATGGCTCCCACCCACCTCCTGTTATGGATGCGCATCCCCAGCCCCATCTCCTTGGACCTGGTGGATGTGTCGAGAAAATTAGCATCAGCCTGACCCAGGGGCATCAGCACAGAGTCCCCTGGTCATTGGCTGATTGCCACCCTCTCTCCTGGTAGCTTAACTAGGGAGGGGTGGAGGTCAGCCTAGGTTAAAGGCAGACCTAGTGATTGTTTAGGAATTAGCTATGGTTTGAAGGTGTATGTGAAGGAACAAATTCTCCAGAACCAATTTACTTCCAAAACCTCTCCCTTTGATTATAGGGCCAGCCCTCTTAGAGCATGTTGGAGCATTGCTTAAGCAGCTAAATTCTAAACACCTGAATAGTCTGACTTGAACTTGACAATTAAAGGGCAAAAAGATTCACTTTATTGCCCCTCCATCCTTCCACTCACCTCTTATTTCTGATTTAGATTCTAATTTTAGGAATCCCTGTATCCTATGTTATGTCTCATATCACCAAAATGTTTTCATGTTACTACTCTCTTTTGTCTACATTACTACTACTTGAAATTTGTTGAGTACCTTTCATAGACATTATACCATTTAGTCTTACCAACCTTGAGGTGGGATGCATTTTTCCTTTCATTTTAAGGACGAGGACACTGGGAATAGCAGAGAGGGAAACTGAACCCAAACTGGAGTGTGACACCAGGGTGGTTGCCGTCCTATCTGTGGGGAAGTGAACGGGGACTTTTCTTGGGCACAGGTGAGAGAATCGAGGCAGAGGCCAACCCCTGACTAGAGTCTCTGGTGGCCTTTAATTCCCATCAGACTCCCTATTTCTGTCACTCCATCAGAAGCTACTGTCCCCCCTGGTCTTTTTCTGTGTTACATGTCTGTAACAACCTTTCATGTGTTGGAAGCTGAGGGCAGGAAACACATCTGTTGGCAGGGAAGGTGCTTCTCCTGGGACTGTGAAGATTTTTTTCCTATAAGGAAGCCTGTCTACAGCCTTCCCAAGTACTCGCCTGTGCTAGAAAGTTCTGTTAACTGATTTACAACAAGCTGTTAGTATTATTCAGTAATTCTGACTGCAGGTTGCTGGTTATTATGACGTGCAGAATCAGGACATGTCCTTCCTCTTGGTTCTGGTATAGAAAAAGTGCTGATGAAAGGTGAACATCGGAAGCATGCTATGGGAGCAGGGATTATTGTTTTCCCCTCTTAGCATTAAGGTCAATTCAAAAATCTGCTTTAAGATTATTTACCCAAAAGTACATTATAAATTAATCTTTTAATGTCTGGAGGAAAACTTTGCTTTAATGGAATGCTATGTCTCTTGTTCACTTAGAAACAGATCAATATTTACCTAGTGATTCATTTTTGGTTCTCACGAAGTGTTTGCTCTTAGTGAAACAAGCTGACTAAAGCTCAGTTCAGAATTATAACAAAAATCTAGATAGTGATACAAATCTTTTTCTGAATAAAAACTTTAATGTATATTCATTTTTTTTAAATGGAAAAGGTAGAGAACACAAACATTATCTGTAAGTGCTATCTCTCTCTCTCTCTCTCTCTCTCTCTCTCTCTCTCTCTTTTATTTTGAGACGGAGTCTCTCTCTGTCACCCAGGCTGGAGTGCAGTGGCACCATCTCAGCTCACTGCAACCTCCACCTCCTGAGTTCAAGCGATTCTCCTGCCTCAGCCTCCTGAGTAGCTGGAACTACAGGTGTCCACCACCACACCAGGCTAATTTTTGTATTTTTAGTAGAGACGGGGTTTCACCATGTTAGTCAGGCTGGTCTCAAACTCCTAACCTCGTCATCTACCCATCAACCTCCCAAAGTGCTGGGATAACAGGCATGAGACACTGTGCCTGGCCCTATAGCTCTTTTAGAATTTGTCTAACAAGTTTTTTTCAGTTTTTACCAGAAAACCTCCCACATGAAAAAAATTAAAATTCTACCCAGGGATAATGCACTGTTAATATGTGGGTGATCATCCCTGTGGTTTTCCTTTTGTTTATACTTGCCCCCACAAAATCATGGTGATAGATATTGTTTGGTAACCTGCTTTCACCAAACCATGATGAACACTGCCATGAACATTCACCCATGCTGCTACCTATCTGCTTATGTTTGATTTCGTTTAGCTTCAGAATCCTGTCATTCATTCAAATTTCCCGATGGCTGCTGGCAGCAGTTGGGTAGAGAAAGAGCTTTGAATTGAAATTTGGACTAGGATGCAAATCTAGGTATTCGGTCTCTAAACTGGCCATCGAACCCTGGACAAAATGATAGCCCCTCTAGTCCTTGGTTTCCTTCTGTGTAAAATGAAATAGGCATGTCTCCCACCGTGCCCTTCAGCACTGACAGCTTCTGATTCTGGTACCCTTGCTTTGTAAGCAAGCATCAGAGTGCTCTTTTTAGGGGAAGGACCCTGGGAGAGGATCCCCGACTGTAGGGTAAAGAGACTGGTTTTCTTGTGTGTTTGTCCTCTTCTAGCTATTCCCAGCCCCTGGACTCCTGGACAGGCTGGCACTGTTTTTTTTTTTAAAGTACTTTTTAAAGCTATCATTTATATACAGTAAAATGTACAAATCTTAAGTATATAGCTCAGGGACTTTTACATATGTATTCAGCTGTGTAACTACCAGTCCCCTGGGTGTTTTACAAAGATGTACCATGACCTCCCTGCCTGTGACCCACCCATCTGTCATAATACTACTTGAGTTGGCTTTCTCAAGCAGGCTAGCAGCCCAGGCATGCCTACCTGTCCAGCCCCATTACTCATAGCATTCTCTCATTGGCCATAAAGTACCTGACCCTTGGGCTATTGTCCCCCCAATATCCCAAATACCCTCTTTTCTCAGCACCAAAATGCCTCTTATCCTATAAGAAAACTTGAATAGCATCAATTGTTGTCTGCTGCCCAGGCTGGAGTGCAGTAGTATAATCATAACTCACTGTACCCTCAAACTCCCGAGCTTAAGCTATCCTCCTGCCTCAGTCTCCCAAGTACCTGGTACTACAGGTGTGCACCGCCATGCCCAGCTAATTTTTAAAATTGTTTTGTAGAAATAATCTCACTATGTTGCCCAGTCTGGTCTCAAACTCCTGGTCTGTAAGCCATCATTCCACCTTGGCCTCCCAGAGCACAGGATTTCAGGTGTAAGCCCCTGTTTCCTGCCCTAAATAGCATTAATTCTGAGATACTGTTCTCTAACTTGCCCCTCTACTCCTCTTTAGCCAGAATTAGCCCCTCTTCCACCTTCCCACCATGTTTCCCCAGCTTGTAACTTCTGTGTCCATTTAGAATGTTCCATCTTGTTTTAGGAGAATTTGTATCTCTTTTCTTTATCACTGGAATATATACCCCAAGTCAAGAGCTGCATACTTGGGGAGACAGAATAGGATTCCTGGTGGTTCCAGATCTCAAGTACAGTGCCATTCTGTATCTTGTTTTCCATAAACTGGTGTAAGTGACAGATGTTCTCCTTCTGGCAGATGCCATGTGTGCCTGCCCAGGAGAAACAAACTGCACTGTCTCCAGCTTGTTCAGTGGTGCTCCAGGGAATCAGGTGTACCTTCAGCTCTTACAGAGCTTTGTTGATCTGGGAAGGCTCTACCCTGTTTCTGGAAGATTGTTTTATCAGTCTTAAATTAAGGCAGAACAACCCCAGGCATATGCATAGGGTAGTTCGCAGCCTCTCCTTCCCGATGGGCCTGGCTGAAGTTTTCATCACCAGGTCCCTGTTGGAAAGTGGAGACAGGCAGCAGGTGCCCTGTCTCTGGAAGCCTGCTATTAAAATGTATACACTCCCCTGCGGGAAGCCAGGCTGCTGCTTTTTCACTCATTAGCGAGCTTACCAGTGTGGGCTGCCTTGTAGCTAAAGATGAAGGCATTTAGGAGGAGTGTGATGGAGGGCTTAGCTAATAGGCCTAAAAACAGAGAGTTGAGTTGTCTTCACTGGATGCAAGAGACACCTAGAAGCCCCTGCAGAGTCTAGAGAAGGGAGGCAGTATGATGAAAACCACAGCCACATGTGTGTGGGTACTTCCTTCCCCAGAGATGAACATGTAATCACTTTCTTCTGCAACCAGCTGCCACCTGTATTAATAAGAACTGGACATTATTGTTCTTTGTGGATTTGAGAAACACCTGATGCTTAGGGATGAGAGGCATCCACCAAACACCAAGCCAGAAATAACAGTTGATTCTCCTATGCCATGGGACCCTCTCTGAATGGTCCTCCTGGAAACTGCTTCAGGTGGTCATAAGATAAGGCAGGAGCCCTGTGGCCCTTCCACAGACCATAATGGATTCATCTCCTGTGGTTTTCCCCATTTCTCTCTTCATTCACCAGCAAGCTTCAAACAGGAATCCTATTGGAATGCTCTTCTCATCATAATGTGTCCAAACCTTTAGTTTCCTGCCGATAGTCATCCATTAGTCTTGGTTAATGAACATTTGAGGATCTACTTCTCTGAGATTTGTTGTGGGGAGGGGTTTTTAGAAGATCATTTTTTTCAAGCTTTTTCTTTATAAAAATTTTCTAGAGGCACTTTTTAAAATCAGTTTCCTTACAAATGTGGTTCCTAATTTTTTTTTTCAAGACAGTGTCTCACTCTGTTACCCAAGCTGGAGTGCAGTGGCACACTCATGGCTCATGGCAGCCTCGACCTCTGGGCTCAAGAGATCCTCCCACCTCAGGCTCCCAAGTGTCTGGACCCAAAGGTGCACACCACTATGCCTGGCTAATTTTTAAAAGTATTTTTGTAGAGACAGAGTCTCACCATGTTGCACAGGCTGGTCTCAAACCCCTGGGCTAGCGATCCTCCGGCCTCAACCTCCCAAAGTGCTGGGACTACAGGTGTGAGCCACCAACCCAGCCCCTAATTATTTCTAATAAAGCAGAGCAAATCTGCTTTTGATTATTCTCTCAAACACTACCAACTCCCTCTCTATTGCTGTCGTACATACTTCTCAATAGTAAATATCCATTTTTCACGTACCCCAAATAAAAGCTCAGTTTTGTGTACACAAATACTGTATTTGTCATAGATATGTAAAATATGCTATTTTTGTCCTAGTGTACCAAGGAAGTATTAAATAATTAGAAGTACACTACAGAAAAGCACTAATTCATATCTCCCTGATAGTGCAATATATGGAGTTATTTTCTTTTTTTTTTTTTTTTTTTTTTTTTTTTTTTTTTTTTTTTTTTTTTTTT